TTAAAGAACTCGTTCTGTAACCTTAGGTCTCCATTCAGATGCCACATTATTAGATCTTTCCTGAGCACCCTATATTAATTAGTTACACTCAACATGTCTCCTTCATGTCTACCCCACTACTCGACCCTGCTTAAATACCTCTCCTTTGTTTATGGGCTGTGTATGCTCATAAGAGTGCAAGTACTAAGAAATACAACTTTCCTCTAGTTCCTAAATGTTTCCTTCCCGCTCCCACTACCATGACCCGAATTCGATCTCGCAAGTCTGGCTAGAGCAGAGGAGGTACACTGGTACAGATAGGAGCTGAAAATACAGGGAATCCAGGACGGATGAGCCCTATAGGACCAGTGGTGTGAGTGGCAAAACAGGGAGGGTAAAGGGAGAATGGGTAGGAAAGAGGGAACCGATTACATGGAACTGTGTGTGACCTCCTCCCTGGGGGACAGACAACCGAAAAGTGGGTGAAGGGAGACGTCGGACAGGGCAAGATATGACAAAATACCCATTTATAAACTATCAAGGGCTCATGCGGGAGGGGGGAGCGGGGAGGGAGGGGAAAAATGAGGACCTAATGTCGGGGGTTTAAATGGAGAGAAAATGTTTTGAGAAACGATGTACATATGTGCTTTACACAATTGATGTGTGTATGGATTGGGATAACAGTTGTATGAGCCCCTAATAAAATGTTAAAAAAAAAAAAAGAGTGCAAGTACTATAATATCTAGGATGTTATTTAACTACTGAATTAACAGTGTCACAAAACACACATGGGCAATAAATATTTTGTGAATGAGTATTAGGGAAGAGAACAGGATGGAGCCTCAGGAGATAAGAACACAGCAGGAGAGGGATGGGTATGTATATGACTTTGGAGTTGGGTGGGGGTCTGGGGGGGGGAGACTTAACTTGGAATGGAATAATAAAAGGAGTAAAAATGCAAAGGCAATTTACTTAAAAGGGAAAAAGCAAAGTTTATGGGAAGAAACAAATAGCACTGGGAACTACATGCTATTAGAATTGTATCAGGTCAAGTCAGCGCCATCCGGTCGATTCCAATTCATAATGAGCTGATAGCACCATGGGTTTCCAAGACTGCATCTCTTAAGGAAAGTAGAAAGCCTTACCTTTCTCAAGCAATTCCAAATTGCCCTGCATGTAACCCACCGCCACCAGGATAATGGCCCAGCACCTCTAAACTTGTCTTTCTTACCAACAAAGTTTTGCGGAGAAAGCTAAGGGACCATAATTGAGGGCTATTTGATTTTTAATACTCCCACCCCTGTTTTTGTTTTTCTATTCACTAAAAGTTACACATTTTGTATAGAAAGCATTGTATTGAGTGCTGATAATGATAAAAATTCTAAGTACTCAGGGCCTTTCAAGCTAGGTAGGAAGCCGAAACATCAATGGGAAACATAAATGTATGCAGTGGTACATGATTATATATGAAACAGAGCAGT